CGCTAGAATTGCTTCTTTAATTTAATGAGTTAATTTTATCATTCGCTCTGCTATCCTTCTGTGTCGGATCATGCATGAATTTGGTCCTCTCCTGAGGTATAGCGCGCACTCTTAGCATGTATTCTGATTTGTTCATCAGCACCCAACCAGATCCTATATCTAGCCGGGAGAGAATAACATCAGGATTAGATGTTATTTCTTTTACAGCTTTCTGATGTTTATTGGTGATCATTATCAGAGGTTGCGGCTTTTGACACAAATAATGCTGAGAAAGTTGCACCAAAGTACTCTTGAAAGTGTCTTTGGCGAGGGGAGACGTAGGGGGTTAAATCAGTCGGTCGTTGCATTAAACTTTCGAATTGTGTATGTACATGAATCGGTCCGTGTCTTGGAGATGAAGAATAGCATTTCGCCCCCAGCGAAAGAACTTTCAATTGCCACTTGTTCGACTGAATGTTAGCATGATTTTCTACATATCGATCTGGAGGCAGTGGAAATTTCGATTCAGGTACATTTGGTGCCAATCTATTAAGCAGTATCGTTTACTGCCTGTACCCAGGCTTTCGTATATACCTCATGCATAGAACTTTCAAACAAAGTACCATCAGCTGCGTTGAGCCCATCCAGGGATACTTGTTAGTGCGAACAAAGTCGTTCTAACTTAGGAACTTGAGAATGAACAGCTTCCAGAAGGTTTGCAACATGCCGTCTCAGAGGTTTTGTAGTTGGACGCACGTGACAACATCTCAGAGCCTTCCAATAACTCCTGCGATGTTAGTTGCGTTGAATACACTCCTCTATGAATCGTATCTCAGTGGTCGCATTTGCACGCCTGGCGCTAAACTACAAACACTTGTTGAAGTTAGAAAACGCGGCGGGCTGCTTGCGTTTCTTTAACTAGTGTATTATGACAATTTAGATACAAGGAGGAGCAATGAAATGAGATATCACTTTTCGATACTTCGCGTAAAGCATTTACATTTATGAAGAAGCTTAATCAAACGGGGAGGCTAACTAGAGCACGTGTGTGTACTTAGTGAATGCTGCTTTGATCCCGAGCTTGGAAGGAAGGCTATTGTGCACCCCATACCAGTACTCCAGCAACATTGCTGACATTTGCCTAGATTGAAGGACCACTTTCACAAGCCTCGGGCTACATCCTTTGTAGTTTGGCGATCGGCTAAGCCTCGAGATCGACTGTGCTATGACGTCTTCCAGGGCGAGGGACTCTCGAATCTATCGCCACTGTTCCTGGTCATGTGTGGTCGCTTCGCACTCACCATGACCTCCAGCCTCAGGAATACCGTCTGCAAATATGGTCCTGGTTACCGATCTCGTCCGGTATTTTTCCAAGTCGTACTTTGCCTGTCTGCGCTCGCTCCACAGAATATCCGGGAATAGGCGGATGGAACCTGACTCATTCCGGAAGGGAGCTGTCGATGACAGGACAGCTTATGCTTCATTGGCGGTAGTCAAGGCAACTTGGAGATGTCTTGGTTCACCTTAGTGATCTGAGTTTAGATGACGGGTAGAGCGCGTCGAATTGGCGGGCTTAGATACGACACCTATAATGTAATAAATGGAGTTCCAGTGGTTCACGTCATCAAGTTGTCTTTCTTTTAAGGAATTTGACGTCGATCATGTAACTCTGGTGCAGAGAACCGCTGGTATACTCTTTGCAATCCTAGTTGAGGTCAATCGCTCAGCTGCTCTGCATACAACCGATAGAGGCTGTGTGAGTACAGCTGGGTCTCCTTCATTCAACCTGGGCCCAGTGGGGTTGGCCGAAGATCTAGGTTTTCGGTCACCATTGGCTGCAAGTAATTTCAACCACCACTGATGTCGACGTCCTGCTGACTTTTCAGAACCGTTTAGTGGGTGGACCAGGCCCTGACCGTGCTCATTTCAAACAGGCTGTTGATGATTGTTGCCGACGTGTTTGAGCAACTGGTGGTAGTAACGGTTAAAGCCACAACTGCTGCAGTTTTAGCGCGCTACTTAGCCTGCTTCTTCAGTTTAAATGTGGAGCCTAGTAGAATGACTAGCACTTACTTTCCGTCACGCTTCGTTTTAATGAATCGCGGTTGGTGCTCCTGATTTTTTCAATAACTGCCATCAGTCCTTCGGTAGTAGTAGTAGTAGTACTAGTTCATGGTAGTTCATATACAATCTGTACCCGTGGGATAACCATACATACTGAACAGAATCATACAGGATCTGGTTTACCATTGTGTAGCCCCAACTGGTTTACTGTGAGCCTGGAACATTTAGAACGAAGCTCACCAGGGCATTTGAAACACTGGCTTCCAGTTCGTACATTTTTATGGCATGAAGGAAAGCCACATGCTACTGTCGATCTGGGTGCGGTCACATGGGCTTTGGTTGGTCGCCAAAATTCATTGTTTCGAGCGATGCTATTCAGATCAAGGCCCGAGCGCTTATGGTTTCCTGTGGGTCGCGTGTGCACTGAATTGCCTATTTGTTGAAGGCCGTCACATTCTGTGTCTGGCCCTGGAGGAGTAGCTTTAAGTGGCTAGGTCATTCACACGGTAAACAGAGCAAGTAAGCAATACGCACACAAAGTGTACCATAGTTTCTTTAGTGGACGGTCGACAGCTGTGCTTGACGGCTTGTCGGGTAAAACGCCGTGTTGACTTTCGTTTGAGACTCCAAATCTTGTTGTTTAGTTCATGATTATGATAATTCCTTGATTGTGTTTAGACGGGAACGGTGTGAAAGCCGCAATGATGAGATAAAAGGCGGCCTACACAAGCAAGATCCGAACGATGGAAAGCATTATATAGCGCTGATGCGGCTGGGTCGAGTGAGTGTGAGCGCACGTTTGTGTGATCAAATGCAGCTGAGAAACAGCGACAAAACCACGTGAACACAGATGAGCGATTAGCAAACAGGTTACGTCAGGGTCATTTATGGCTTATTCAAGGACATTTACAGGACTCACATAACGTTACATATAAAGGAAAATTGTAGTTCGAAATGTTCCAAGCTGGAAGACGAGCTATTGATAATCCAGACATTGCATTTTATCAACCTATAAGGCGTCGGTCCTGCGCTACACATCAGATTCGCTGGTAAACGGTTTACCGAAAGCAAGCTGGATAACACACAACAATAAGTTAGTAAAGGTTTAGTGAAAGTTCACTAAATTAGCTGTATCTAAAATGAGGCACCGGAAGAGCGCTAATCAGGGAAGATGTAAACGAGTGCTGAGTGTAAAGATGGCCGGTCGCATCCGAGTGAACGTGGCGGATGCGTGTGTTTTGTGTGATTCAGATAAACCCGAGCATCATTTAAACAAGCAGACCACTTAATTCCCTAATACATCAGAAAAATATAGTTTTATAATATTTTAGAAGAATTAACATAGTCAGACCATAGAACTTTAGTTGGCCACAATACTGTTGTGTAACGTTCATTACTTAACTATATAATAGTCTTTCGCCTGTTTGGTGCGTTCTTCACATGTGCTAAAATTGCGTTCCAGTGTGGACAGACACTAAGACAGTAAAAACACGTTTTGCAATTCAAATGAAAGTGTTGCGTTACTAGTTTCATGAGATGACCTTGCTAATATTTGTAAGGAGGAGCAGCAGCATTGTACGTGAATAATCGTTTTGTGTTATTATCCAGTATTCGATAATGAGTTTCTCGCAAAGCCGCCGGTATTCTAAGAAGAACACACGGATTAAACGAAGGCGTAGTTCATAATTGCGACATACTAGCCCGTGTATTGCATTGCTATCCATACTTTTGTGACTGCTCCAAAAGACAAATGTCTCGTTTTAACCATAAGAACTAGGCCTGAACCGCATACTCAACGTGGTATTTGGTATACTGTGTTTAGTAAGCAAAGTGACAGCCTATATCCGTGTCTCAAATAATATGCTTACTCACCAGGTCGTCGTGCTTGAACAGTCGGGGTCCCGTGAATCTCTTTTGTTTGATCATGCTTCGGATGCGATTTGAGCAAGAAGCCCAGGATCAAGGTATTTTTAACTAGCGCGCCTTGGCCAAAAACCATTGAACTCACTGCTTTACTGAACTGATAGTTCAGATTAAGCTACAGTGCTTATAATCGGCAGGTTTCCGAATTCTGCGTTTGTCCATCACAAACAAATTGTACCATGAGTTCACACAAAGACGACCGATTACAATGATGGGAAGAAAAACAGACATACTTCTGCTATTTTTTTCGAATTGCTTCTTTGGCTGCGATCCCACACTGACTTTGGCCTTCATATGAAGCCACTAGAAATGGATTTGTGACTGGAACATCCACCTCTTGTTCTCTTTTCCGAATGAAATGGTGTCACTAACCAAACTTTGCCACGGATTCTTTTCATTTGTAATTATAGCCGCTCTTTTTCAACATACAAGGTCATCCGATTGTCGGTGACACATTCCATACATTTTGTTTTCCCACTGGTTTGTTCTGAATGCAAGATGACTTCCCATCAAATATCATGACCAACCTAGCGAGCTGGCTTTGCTAATGGGCACTTCAAGGACCCAGACCATCTTGCTTAAATTGACACGAGAAATCAATTTATGGGAATGAATTTTGACGTTTGCTATTTAATATATATTTGGAGTAGACAGTGTTGTAATACATTTGGCAACCGGCCAATCGCTCATCATCGTTTCGACGTTAGCCATCAGAACATTTGCAGCTTGCCTACTGAAACTGTGAATCTCATACACTGCTTTCAACAACTGTGTCTCATTCCAGCAAATTTTAAATGAATGGTAATGAACTGTCGTTCTTTCACTCGTAAACAAAATATAGGTCGGTTGATAGCTCTTCGTTAGGGACAAGTTATGACAATGATATCTAAGTTCAGGTACACAAAATGGTTGTAAACATAAAGGAGTGAAGCTGTATGCAATGCCATTATTATGTACAGTGTTAACCGTTCGTTTGAATTGGGTTATCTGTGTTATTGGCACAATAAGTTTTCTCTGTCTCTGTTGTCTGGGACTCAGTTCCGTTCAGTCGTTGAGTACCGGAAAAGTGGCCTGACTGCTATTCTGGCTACTCGCTCACTGGTCGTGAGTTTCTGGGACCTTGCATCGTTCCTAAGCTGCACCAAAGACAAGATGTCTGGACCGGGATTCACCACTGAGGCGGAACGAGCGGTCGTTACAGTTGGACGTCGGGCTGACATGCTTCGCTTTAGTAATTGGAGATCCATTTCCGCTAGCCGATGAGGCGCAGTGTCCAACATAACTTCTAACAAATACATGGAATAGTCGTACCATCGGCGTTCAGCTGCAGTTACAAATTCGGGTTCTTCGTACGTTGTCTTCTGGATGAATTCCTCGCAGTTTTCCACGAATGCCCTCACAAGACTGCATGCGTACTGTTTCCATCGATTCCTCTCCTGGTTCGACCTCCGGAGTTGTTCCTCGAGGTCCTTGTCGCGTACATACTGAAGTAAATACGAATAGCGTAATAGGTTTTGGGACTAAACTCATATAATTCTTGGTGCATTTATTTATTTATCCTATTTATTTAGTTGTTATCCGTTTAAAGGAGTTTTTGGGTTGATATTTTACGTGGTTGCCGAGTGGCACACCGCTGAGACACTGTTTGAATGTATGAGCTAATGTAACAATACTTAGTCGTGCACTCAACCGACACTTAGATCTTGATACTGCCTATGAATCACTGAGGGTTAAAACAATACTCCGCCCCAGATCAAAGGGACAAAGGAACATCATTGAGGCAAACTCTAGCTAATAGTACGCAACAGTTGACTACACGGTCAGCTCACGTGCACCAATAGACTCCTGACGTTCGAATCAAGTGATCAATAATCACTTGAATCTGCAAGTGGCTCGCATAAGTCGCACTGATGATGTCGTCTAGTCTGACGATGAAACGTCTGCAACCATATCAACCAGCTCGGAGAACACCCGCATACCCTTATCCGCATCCCGAGCTACAAATATTCTCACGGATTTCTAATTTATTCCTCATTTGTACGAAAGGCGTAGGATGACTGAGGAGCGACAAGCACTTGCAAACAATCCGATCGCAAGTGGATCGAAAATACGATTCATTCGTGATGTGAAATATGTTCCTGAGAAATCCGTCGCCTGTTCTACCCTCAAGAGCTATGCTGTATCTTCATTTAGGAGGAGCGAGGCCAACCGTGAACAAATCGGAGTTTGTCCTTTACATCCTCGTTTTAACAAGGGAGCACAACCTGACCATTTGCATTATCCTCCATATGGACACTATATCAGCTCGCGTCTTCGCGTTAAACATTCACCAACCAGTTGGCAATTTTCTTAGAAGGCGGAATCTTGAAACAGACACTTGGGATAGAACACGGTTTATGTGGACCATTTGAAATGCTGCCCTAATTGTTGCTTTTGTGTTGCATTAGTGTAGGGTTCACGACCCCTTCCCATGGCAAACACTGGGGGCCCTGTCCTTCTGTCACAGCACAATATGTACGTTGCACTTCAGTCGGCTGTATTATATCAGTGTCTATGAATAGCTGTGTGTTCACAGACCATTCATACCTACCATTGATAATTTGGCAAGAAAGATAAATCGGTGCATCTTGGTTACCAGGTGCTTTCTCTTGTCTGTAACCCATCTATCTCCCAGTTGACAGATACTGTCAAATTCGTGAGGCAGGATTGGTCTAGGATACCCTAGATTACCTGGTCGCCCAGTAGACAAGTGACCTAAAGATCCGACTCTGACTGCTGTGAGCTGCAATTGGGCTGGGTGATTGACAGCTCCCGTTACATATATCTACTCGGTGTCCACATGTGTCTATACCATTTCCCGGCCAAGTTGTCCTCTTGGGCAACAGAAACAATCTGAGGGGGTACTCAACATGAGTCTACTCAATTAATTTTTTCCGTGCGTACGCCAGTCACTTGTGCAGGTGTGTAGGTGTGCGTGTATAGCCCGTCGCCTTCAGCCAATTGGACCTCAGACGCACTAAATCATAGGGGTGCAGGTGGGACACTTCAGCTCCTACGCACGGAACAAATTAATTGAGTAGACTCATGTTGAATGCCCCCTCAGATTATTTCTGTTGCCCAAGAGGACAACTTGGCCGGGAAATGGTGTAGTTGCCGACATCCTCATTGACACAGGATTTGAAACCTTACGGGTATACTCCCAACCTTAAGTTACTATCGGTTCAGCGACTTAGACACTTATTGACTGTTAAAATACTTGCCCCCTTTCTTCGGTGAATTTTGCAACCGACTGCTTATGCCTGACTGCACTGATTTCTGCTCTGATTGAGTAAACTCGCCATCTTCTTTTTCGGAAAATAGATGTACCGCTCAAAACACAAAACGCACCATTCTGACATATCAAATCAAACGACATCGCAGCATGAGGTGTCAAAAGGAAATAATAAACAAAACAATAATAAAACAAAAAATCAAAATAACCGCCAACTGACCTTCTTATATGCACTGATGCACACTGGGTTACCCGAAATGTATAAAGTGTCCACAGTGACCCAGTACCATTTCAGGGTAGCGAAAATTAACGCTCACAAGAAAGACTGGAATGCTACAACAGCGCGATAGGACCGAGACAGACACAGACAGATTAGACCGCGCAACACAAGGTCAACGGAATGAGCTGGGAGCGGATCGCGAGCGACAAACGGTAGTGGGCTAGAGCTAAAGTGAACAGCGAAAACATTGTTTCAAAGATCAACTAATCATCCAGGAACACCTTTGTCGGTTAATCCAGAAGTAACTTCAAGCAGAGTTATGCCACCGCGATCAAGCAAATCAAGAGCTTCAGAACAAATCTAGGCTGGTGAGGATACGATTTACGAAAACGAAGCAACGGAGTAGAACAGGCTGGGTAGATTCACCGTTAGGATGAAGCGATGCACGGATGTGACGGTTTGCCATTTTGAATATGTGGTGCGTTTTGGGACGGAAACACGACCTCAGTAGGTGCGCGTGCGTGCGAGCTTGCCTAACCGCTGTCACGTACAAGTAACATTGTGCTTTTTTGCCGCTCCGTTCTTGCCAAGCAGTGACTAAGGACTAGCTACTGTGCCACTGTAAACCGTTGTACTCAAGTTCGGACGCCGCGGAATTTTCTGCTACCACGCGCTGGATCCTGCTTTTTCTCTGGAATTACTGTATTTTACGTGTGCTGCTGTGTTAGTTGTGCACCAAACTTTTTAGTTTCGTGTGTTCATCAATCCTTGAAAGTTTCGTGGAATTCCGCTTGATATCTTCGGAGATCTCAGTGATTTACTGCTGTGCCCGTCATTTTGGAATTTGTGATCGACATCTTGCTTGTCTTCGTGCTTGAAAAAATACAACAACTATGCCGAATATCATGCAACGACGTATCTGCTCTTCAGCTAATTGCGGCAAAGCCCTTAAAATGGGTATAACGTGCCGAAACTGCAGTGGCTCGTTCCACCCGAGCTGTATAGGAAAGTCCGCCCAAGAAGCAAGGCAAATAAACAAGGCTACTGACGCATTTTGGTTTTGTCCAACTTGCCAGTTAACTCCAGTGGTCGGTTGTTTATGTGCACTCATGGAAAGGTGCGATACTTTGAATGCGACAATCGCTTATTTGTTGAACGCCAGGCTTGCACCACCGGCCGCGAATATGGCCATGATTGTACCACAGTCGGTCAAAGAAAGCTCCACCTCGAGGCCGAAAAAAAGGGCTAGACGTTCAAGTCGCGCTGCAGCCTCAGTTTCTCCAAATCCCTTGCCTCACTCAACTCCCAAAAGCGGACGAACATCCAGAGTACTGATGTCCACACCTTTGAGTCACACGCCCCACCTCCATTCAACAGCAACCGCGGAAGCTCCGGGGCAAACCTCTTCCGCCGTAGAGAAAAGTCCGGCGTCGTACGCCTCAGTCGCCTCAATGCATACACCGGCTAAATTACCTCCGACTCTGGTGGCCTCACCAAGCAACAGTAAGTTGACCAGCCTCCAACAACCAAACAATCCGTTTAACACCGTGTCTTTAAGTCATGGCAAATCTGCATCCAACGCAAGGAGCCAAGGCGCGTTAACCGTTGTGTGTACAAATGTTCCTGAATCACAGGCGAGTACAATAAAGGGGAAGCTGTTGGATGATCGTAATCAGTGGAAGTCTATATGTACTGCGATTGGCATTTCGGTTGAACCTGCAATGCTGAGACGAGTCACACGTCATCCAAATTCAGCGCACTACGGTGAACCCCGACTTCTCCGGGTGACACTAAACTCCATCAAGGACACAGAAGCAGTTCTACTATCGTCCAACAGGCTTTGTCATTCATCACTCGAGGCGCGCATACTTCCTGATATCCCCTGGAACGAACGTCCGAAAAAGATGAGCAATCGCGAAGAAGTTCGTAAAGCCGCTGCGAAACGGACGATAATTGTGTACGGGGTTCCTGAGCTCCAAAATTCAACCTCTGATGCAGCGGATGCACATGACCGGGAGCAATGGAGTTACATCCGCCACGAAATCTCCCTCAATAATATCATCGCTAAGCGGTTGACCAGGATTCCATTTTCACCCAACTACAAAGGGAACGGTCCCAGACTTATGAAGGTGGTGCTTCAATCTGAGTTTATGTTACCGCTCGCCTTGGAAAACTGGTCCAAATTCCGCATGAAGCTGCCAGCGGAAATTCGGTTAAAGGCATCAGGTACGCTGCCACGGATTACCAACGACTCACGGGGAGCCATCAAATTGTTGAACCATCCACTCATGCAACTTTGTGAAGGCATGGATTTATCAACAACCGCAATATCCCACGAAACACGGCTGAACACGGGGGACCAGCAGGGCCCGGAAGGCCGCGATCAGTCGTCTAACCGAAAGCAAACTCAAAGGCAAACTTCACCACAAAAAAACGGTTAATGGCCGACCCGTTAACGGTCGGCACAAACTCCATTTCTACCACAACTGGTGCTAGCTCACTCTTGGTTACAAAAGCACTATCCTGCATGTATACTAATGCACAAGGCCTCATAAGTAAGTTGGTAGAACTCCGTCACCGTTTGGCTTCGGAGCCTCGAGACATCATAATGATCACCGAAACCTGGCTGAGCGGCGAAAGCACAGACGCTGAGATTGCCATACCGGGTATGTCACTTCTCCGGAACGACAGAACGGGCAAGGGCGGTGGCGTGCTCATTTATTTCCGAACGAACCTTCGTTTTGGTCTCATAGACGATCCCCAGACTTGTGTCACCGACGTCCTTTGGTGCAAACTGTGGTTGGAACGCAACGACGTATGCCTTCTCTCTGTGGTTTACCGACCACCGAAATCCACTCCGGAAAGGGACAACAGACTTATCTCCGCTTTTCGCTCCGTGCTTAATCAGAAGTACAGCCACATCCTCGTTGCAGGAGATTTCAACACCCATGACTTGGAAAATCCAGCATCCGAGACAGAGGTGTTCAAGGCAT